CCCGTCCACCCTCTACGACTACCAGCACTGCGCCATCCACCCCCCGCGGCGCCCGGGGGGCACTCACCGATCCATCTCGGCTACGCCCGATCTCGGCTAATCTCGCACCGCGAGACGTCTCAGGCGCGGGGGGCGGCACACGCCGCCGAGGGACGCGCCATCCTCGCAGAGGCTCGAGAGCAGCCGCGATTTGGCCGCGATTTGGCCGAGAGTTAGCCGAGGTGTAGCAGAGAGTAGCCGCCGAGGGCCGATAGTGTGCCGAGAGTGATCGCTGAGCAACAGCCGGGAGTCGCCGAGAGTGATCGGCGCGTGGCGCGCAGGCGGAGGCGGCGGAGGCGCGCGCCGCGCTGGCGGCGGAGGCGGCGAGCGAGGCGGCCGCGGCGGAGTCGCTGCTCGAGGAGGCGCGGGCCGCGGCAGTGGAGGCGGCGACGGAGGCGGCGGCGGCGCGAGAGCGGGCCGCGGCGGCGGAGGAGGAGGCCGCGGCGGCGCGGGAGGAGGCGGCGGCAGGGCGGGAGAGGGCGGCTGCGGCGGAGGCGCGCGCGGAGGCGGCGGAGAGCGGCGTCGAAGCGGCGTTCGCGGCGGCCGCTCGCTCGTGCAGGGGGGGGGAGGCGTCCAGGACACGTCCGAGACACGTGCGCGGACATGCCCCCACAGGCGGCCGCCCGCTCGTCCAAGGAGGAGGCGGCGGCGGCGAGGAAGGAGGCGGAGGCGCGGCTGGGCGCCGGCGCCGCAGCCGTCGCCGCCGAGTTGACGGCGGCTCGCGCGCAGCTGAGCCACGGAGCGTCGGAGGGGGGCGGCCCCGCCTCGCCCCTCGCTCCGCCCGCCTCACCCCTCGCTCCGCCCGACGACCCGCTCGCCCGCGTCGCAACCGAGGCACGCGCGCTCGTCTCCGCCGCCGCCGCCGCCGTCGGGGCAGTCGAGGAGGCGCTGGCTGGCGCGGAGCTCGGCCAGGTGCCGGACACGTCCACGACACGTCCACGACACGTCGACGACACGTCCACGACACGTCGACGACACGTCGACGACACGCTCACGACACGTCCGCGACACGTCCACGACACGTCCACGACACGTCCCGCTGACACGCCTAGGACACGGCGCGCGCCGCGGTGGCCGAGACCGAGGCCCGCGCGGCGATCGGCAGCGAGCGGCTGCTTGCCGCCGAGGCTGCGGCGGCGGCATCCGAGGAAGAGGGCGGCGGCCGCTCTCGAAGCGTCCACGACCCGTCCACGACACCCGAGGCATGTCCACAGGCGAGGGCGGCGGCAGCTCTCGACGCGCTGAGGCGCGCCGAGGCGGCGGCGGCGGCGGCGGAGGCGGCGGCGGCGGAGGCGGAGGCGCGCGCGGCGGCGGAGAGCGAGCGCGCAGCTACCATCGAGGCGGCGGCGGACGCGGCGCTGAGGACACGCGACATTTGTCCCGGGACATGTCCTGGACAAGTCCACAGGCGGCGGCGGACGCTGCGGCGGAGGCTGCGGCGGAGGCTGCGGCGGAGGCGGCGGCTGAGGCGGCGGCTGAGGCTGCGTCCGGCGGGCTGCGACGGGCGGAGGAGGCGCTGGCGCAGGCGGCGCTGCCGCTCCTCCATTGCGTGTGCCATGCGTTCTTGCTTAGTTCATTGGGAGAGGCGCTGGCGCAGGCGGAGCGGCGGCAGGCGCAGGCGGAGCGGCGGCAGGCGGAGGCGGAGGGCGCCGCGGCGTCGGTCCGCACTGGCGATGAGGCGGAGCGGGAGCGGTTGCGCGGCGAGGCGGAGGCGTTGCGGGCCGAGCTGACGGCGGCGCGGGAGGCGGCGGCGGAGGGGGAGCGGCGGCGGCGGGCAGAGGGCGAGGCGGAGCGGGCGGCGGCGGCGGCGGCGGCGGCGCACGCTGCTCTGCAGGAGCAGGCGTGCGCCCGAGATTACCCGAGACTACCCGAGATTACCCGCGATTGTCCGAGATTGCCCGAGGTTGCCCGAGGTTGCCCGAGGTTGCCCGAGATTGCCCGAGATTGCCCGAGATGACGCTGCTCCTGAGGGGTGCGTGCGGCTGTTGCGGCGTCGGGACTTGTGCTTAGACGCTCGCCCGACCTCGGCCTGTCCTGCCCCTCGCCCCTGCAGGTGCGAGGGCTCGAGGCGACGCTAGCTTCTCAGTCGGCGACCTCTCGCCGCCATGACGCGTGGCGGCGTGTCGCCGACGTGACATCGTGACGCGTCCACGACGCATCCCGCCCAGGCGCTGCTGGAGGAGCAGGCCGCAGTCGACAGCGAGCTGCAGCTGAGGGCGGTGCAGCGCGAGGCGGAGGCGGCGGTGGAGGCGGCCGCGGCGCGCGCCGCCGCCTCCGCGGCCGAGGCGGAGGCGGCGCGAGCGGAGGCGGCGGCGGCGACGGCGGCGGCCGCGCGCGCGGGAAGCTGTCGACAGGACATGTCCGTGACACGTCCGGGACACGCCCCGTGTAGGCGGCGGCCGCGTGCGGGCGGGACGAGGCGGTGGCGCTGAGGGCGCAGCTGGCGGCGGTGGGGGGCGGGCTGGGCGAGGCGTGCTGTCCAGGACATATGTCCCGGACACGTCCGGGACATGTCCCGTGTAGGTGGGGGGCAGGCTGGCCGAGGCGTGCGCCGTCGCCGCCGACGCCAACGCGGCGCGGCACGCAGCCGAGGTCGAGAGTAGCACGAGATTGGCACGAGATTGGCTCGAGCTTAGCCGAGAGTAGCACTAGATTGGCACGAGATTAGCCGAGAGTAGCACGAGAGTAGCACGAGAGGCCGAGAATAGCCGATCTTTACACGAGTTTCGCAAGCACGACAGAGCACGAGATTGGTCGGAGAGTAGCCGAGAGTAGCACGAGAGTAGCCGAGCTAAGTCATGCACATGTCCATGACACGTCCGCGACATGTGCATGCACATGTACCGTGTAGGCGGCGCTGCGCGAGGCGAGGGCCGACGCTGCCGGCGCGGACATCCTTATAGCGAGCCTCGTCGACGCCGCCACGCACCCGTCTCACGGAAACACTCGGCGGGGCTTGTTCGCAGGCGCGGCGGCTGAGCACGGCGAGGCGGAGACGGCGGCCAAGGCGAGATCGTGCCGACATCTAGCCGAGATCGTGCCGAGATCGAGCCGAGGTGTAGCCGGAGACGGCAGTGCACCCTTTGGCGTTGCTGGCTGAAGGGGGCGCCGCGGCACGTCCACGACATGACCGCTCGACGCGTCCACGACGCGTCCACGGCACGTGCCGATAGGCGGCGGTCGCTCTGCTCGGCGACGAGACGCGGCGGCGGGGCGAGAGTTAGCCGAGATACAGCCGAGATTAGACGAGATGCAGCCGAGACTTGCCGAGAGGCCGTGCGGGCCTTGGCCAGGACCTGTCCATGACATGTCCGAGCCATGTCCACAGGCGAGGACGACGCGGCGGTGCGGGCGGCGGCGCGCGAGCTCGTGGCGCGGCACCAGGCGGCGGACAAAGATGCAGCCGAGATGCAGCCGAGATATAGCCGAGATGTCACAGAGGCGCTCGTGGCGCGGCACCAGGCGGCGGCCAGGGCGGCCGAGGCGGCGGCGAGCGCCGCGACGGCCGACTTGCGCGGCGCGGAGGCGGCGGCGGCCGCTGCGGTGGCGGAGGCGGAGGCGGAGGCTGGGGCGGCGCGGCGGCGGGCAGAGGGGGAGGTCGGGGAGGCGCTGGCGCTGGTGGCGGCGCGCGAAGCGGAGGCGCGGATCGCGATGGCGCGGGCGTTGGACGCAGAGGCTGCCCTCTCTGCTTGCTCGAGGGCGTGACATGAACGGCGGTCCGTTCACCGGCCGTCGCTGCGATCAGGCGGCGCTGACTTCGGAGGAGGAGGAGTGGCGGCGCTCGCTGGACGAGGCGTGGGCGCGGGCGGGAGCGGCGGAGCGGGAGGCGGAGCTCCTGCGGGAGAGGCTCGCCCGGCGGACGACAGGGCCCGCTGCCCCCGCCGATGCTGCGGGATGGGTGCGGTTTGGCGGGGGGGCGCGGCGCAGCGGAGCAGGGTAGGCTCGCAAACCAACGGTCTTTAGAGCTGCCACCACCTCCACCTCGTGCTGCGGTCGCCCACGACGACTAAGTGGCTGTGCTCGCTGTGATCTGTGAATAAGTCTGTGGCGCGATGAGCAGAAGACTTCGAAGAATTTAACAAAGACAACTCTCTCTCTCTCAGCAGACAGGCGGACGATTCCCGCCGGGAGACCGTTCCAACTTGTTATGCTTATGGCGCCCTGCCGCGGCGTACTCGGTCATCAAAGCCCAAAAGGCGCATTGGTCAGCCGCCACCCACGCACCACCGCCTTGGGAAGCACACGGAACTCGGTGGCGTTGGCCCGGTGGGTGAGGTTCTGGACGAGCGTTTCTGCCGTGGCAAGGGCGATAGCACCGTCAGCAACTGCGATCTGCTGCCTGCGCCGTGTCCCAGTGTCCTGTCTATGTGGAGAGGGGTGTGTGAGTGTAAAGCATGGCCAACGATGGCAACGACGCACCGATCTGCTGCGGCAGTCTGCTGTCCTTCGCTGGACGATCGTACTGGTGGATCAGCGCCGAGGGCGTGACCCGGTCCTCCTCCATGATGAGACCGCCCTATAGCCGAGCTACACCCTTGTTGGGCCCCGCATGCAGGCGAGATGCCCAAACCCCCTTGCATCAAGGCCATCCTCGCCCAGCCGAAGCGAGCCTTCGGTGATCAGCTTGCCGACCGTGTTGACCATCCCGCCGCGGCCGCGCTCCTGGATGGTCGTCGAGCCGGCCAGTGACCAGAAGGGCGACGCCTCGCTTCGGTTGATAAGCGGCGTGGTATGCCGCAACCGGAAGAGGAGGTAGTCCATGACACCCTGATCGATACATCCCGACTGGGAGCGCCACTTGAGGGTGTGCATCCGCTCATGGAACGTAGCGTTCATCTGCGCACCCAGCGTGCTGAGCCCCCACGGCGTGCCGGCGATGGTCCCAGCGCAGATGATCGTCTCATTCTTCATCCTCCGCAGCGCCATGTGCCCAAAGCAGCGCTTGATCCACTGGCCCGTGTGCCCAGACTGGCCATAGGTCTGCGCCTCGCCGAAGAGGACGAGGTCAGAGCCGCGCGGGTAGCGCGCCATCGGGTCCGCTTGGAAGTAGATGTCGCGAAAGTCCGCAATCAGGCAGTGGCAGTGCCCTCCCCGCCGGCATTCGCCCGCAGCAAGCCACGGCCGCTGGATCCAAACGTAGAGGTTCCGCCGCTTCCCCTGGGCCTCCCTTTCATCGCCAAGGAGTGGCTCCATCGGCTTGTGGCGAGCACCATAGCGCGCCCACGCCGCCTGGAGCTCCGCGTCCGTCCTCCACGCGTCCCCGCCCACAAAGATAGTGATCGCTCCTTTGTAACCGGCCAGCCGGAGTGTCCCCATGAAGCGGTGCGACGCCTCCGCCGTGAGTTGGTGGCCGTAGGCAAAGGTTGTGACAAGCGGGGGAGTCCGGGACGCCTCGCAGGAGGCGGCCGCGGCGAACCCCTGTAACGGCGGGAATTTAGTGAGGGGCAGCCACGCGTTGGCATCTGGCATAACCTCGCGAGAGGGATGGCGCAGCCCCGCGCAACTGAGTGCAGGGACAGATGCTGCCGCGTCGGCCGGCACCGAGCAGTGCGGTTGCTGTGCGGCTCCGAGGTGGCTGCAATGCCGATGTGAGAGCGTCCGTCCCCGTCGTGTGTGCAACCCGCGACTCATCCGGTATTTTCTTTGAGCTAGCCTTCGATGTTATGAAACAAAACAAGGCGGACACATGGCATATCGCTCTCGGGCCCACAGACATCCCGCACACCCGCCGCCCCCGCGCGCGCCCCACCCCGGCCGGGAGATTTTCTTTTATTGGGCTCCAGCTCGGTACACGCTTGCCGGCCGCCGCGGCCGATTTACTTAATTAAATAGGCAAACGTGTGCAGCGTGCGTCCCATTCGCCGACGCCGAACTCTTCCGTCCGGAGCATATGCGTATATGGCATCCCCAGCCGTCGCCGACGACGACGACGCACCGCTGGCGGGGCCTCGCCGGCGCGCCCGCTCGGCGGCGGAGGCCGTGAGCGGAGCCTCAGCCACGCCTCCCGCCGTGCAGCGCGCCCAAACCGCGCCCGAGCCTCGCCGCCGCAGAAGGCTGATTGAGGTGACCAGCACAAGAACGAGAGAGAGTGACCCAGTTGGGCTCGCCTTCCTGCCACGCGTGAGCCTTCGGGTGGACAGGCAGGGCGCCGGCACCGACGCCTCGAGCGGCGATGCGGACAAGCCTGGCTCAGGCACAGACACCTCGGACGGTGACGCCCGCTCGCGGGTCAGTGTCGTTGTCAAGCGGAGGCCTCAGACGGGCCAGCTGGTGACCACCACCATCTCGATCGATACACGGGTGGTGGCACTTGCGGCGCTCCTCGTGATGACCGCCTCCGCAGCTGCCCTACCCATCTCCGGCGGCGGCGCCGCCCGCAGCCTGCCCGAAGTCTCCCCTCATGGTGATGCTGGCAATCTACATGGGAGAGGGCTGCGTGCAAACACGAAACGGCAGATCCATGGCGCGAACCTCTGGCCGCGAGTAAACGCGACGGCGACACCGCTGCGGCCCGGCTTTGACAGCGTCCGCAGCCTAATCGCAGCATCGACGTGCAGCATCTATGTGATGCAGGCCCAGGTGGCGGAGAACGACCCCAACAACAGATCTCAGCACGCCTCTCACCACTGGATCGCACAGAGTCTTGCGTCGCACCCGTGGCGCGTCGACAGGCTTAGCGAAGCGGACATTGTGTACTTCAACGCCTCCCTCTCGCTGAAATCCCGGGGGCGCTACACCAACTTCCGAGCTCTCGAGAAAAAGAAATTTTCCGCGGAAATCACGATGTCAACCCTCCCCAAATGGGTTATCTGATGCTTGTAGGGCTTGAGAGTGGCCTCCCATGTCACAAGAAGGACTGTGGATGCAGGAGAGTACCACCAACCATCACTCTAGTTGGTATAGTACCCCACCTTCACCATCCGGTGATTTCTTTTTTAGTTTCCCATAAGTACAAAAACAAAATAATAATATATAATAATCTCATAAGTAGGGTAGGTAGGTAGGTAGGTAGGTAGGGGCACCGCAGGGGCCGGTCAGGTTTTTCCAGAATTTCATCATGCTGTCCGCCCCAAGCAAAAAGAAGACACACCTCTCCCGAAAATTCTTTTTCTGTGAACTTGGTGTGTCGGCGCTTGCACATCAAAACGGCGTTGCCCCGCACTGCATGGGTGCAGCGAGCGCGAGCAGCGTCGCCCCGAGGACTGAAGTCGTGAGAAGAGGCCAACCCCGGCCCACTCGCGCCACGCTCCGCCTGCCGCTGCTAGTGCTGGCTCTCGCGGCGAGCGCTGGCGCCGAGTCGGTGACGCTGCAGCCCTCTGGTCTGACGCAGCTCTCCTCGTCGCGCGCCGTGCTGATCTTAGCGGGCAGCGTGGGCGACGCGGGCGGCACGTGCGTCGCGGTGACGTGGGCCCAGTCGGCGGGCCTGCCGCCGCCGTCCAGCCTCGACGGGCGCAACGACTGCACGCTCCGCGCGGCGATCGAGCTCGCAAACACGATGAGCCCGAGCACCTCGGTCACGGTCCTCGTGGCGGCCGGGAGGATCCGCTTGCAGAGCTCGCTGCCAGAGGCGACGGGCCGGCTGCAGATCGTCGGCTCGGCGCCTCCGCCGGAGCCCGACGCCGGCTCGGCGGACGACGGAGGCGGCATCGCCGGCGGAGGCGAGCTCGTGCCGTCAATAATGAGTAATTACATTGTGAGAGAGTTAGTTCGGAGCTGAGCAACTATCGTCGGCGGAGGCTGTTGAGAATGAATAGTCAATCATTAGTCAAGAGTCGACAACTAGGCATCGTCGGCGGAGGCGAGCTCGCGACGAAGCCGAACCTCGCCGCCAGCGCAGAGAAGGTGTGTGCAGTCGCCGCGGCGGCACATCTCGGCTATCTCTCGGCTATACCTCGGCTGTCTCTCGGCCATACCTCGGCTATCTCTCGCAGGCCGCAGGGCTGAGCAGCCCCGTCGGCACAATTCTCGACGGCGGAGGCGCTGTTCAGATCCTCCGCACAGGCAGCCAGTCAGCGCTACACGCCTCTCCCAGCGCGGAGCCACACGCACACACTCCACACACTCGCTGCGCACGACTGGCTCGGGAGCCGACACGAGGCGCGCCGCCACCGGCCGTACGTACTACTGGGGCCGGGCTGCTGGATGCACAGCTCACAGCTCACAAACAGCTCCCGAGGTTGCGATCTCCTGCGCACAGGCGCCGGCTCAGAGGTGCACCTGAACACACTCCAGTTCGAGCGCGGCATCGCAGCCTAGAAGCGGAAGATCTGCCCGCATCTCCCCCCTCCCCCCCCCCCCATATCTAGCAGCACGGAGCCCAGAGGCGGAAGACGCGCTCTTGCCAGCGCTCGAGAGGACACGCACTCCGCCGTACTCGGCCGTTTCCGCGGTACTCAACGCCGCACGCGTCCTCCCGCAGATTCACGCGCTGCTCTGCGCAACACCGCCTTCTCCTGCCCCTGAGGGGGGGTGTACCCGGCACGTAGGCAGCGCAGATCAGCTGCTGGACGCCGACGCGCGCGCGGGCGCC